AGTGTTGGGCACTGAACCCTCCACAGCCTCCTCACTCTTGATGAAGCCTTGCTTCAGATCAAAATCCTCCTCCCCAGTACCAATATTTGCCTTCTGGTCAATCAAGCTATGGGCCTGGCGTGCCATCTTCACATACTCTGGCATGTTTGGGTTTTCCTTGGAACTCTTGATCCTCTTAACAGCTGCATACTTAGTCTTGATGGTCATCTGGCTTCTAAAGAAGGGCCACAATTTTGCATGATCATTCACTATGAGATCCCAGTCATCCCAACTAATGAACATAGTAGTAGTGGAATTTCTGTCAGGACATTAGAAGTTCATAACTTCAAATTGAAGTTTACAACTTCAAATTAAATTCTTTTGCTCACTTGCAAGACCATATCCAATTGTCATGAAATGTGTAGCAATGATGGGAACATTACTAGTAGTAGTACTACTACTACTAGTACTAGCTAGTAGGGACTACCAGTACTACTAGCTACTAGTATGTGTGATTCATACCATCAGCCTTGTTCTTGCTGTTCTTTATTATTGAAAGCATAGTGCACTGCAACCGCCATGCCACAAGCAAATGCTCATCTTCTGTCAAACTAGTAGAGACCAAGATAAAGTTCCTGCAAGAGATATAGAGCCTTCTACTATTATGGAACTTTGGTCCTTCAAGAGGCCTTGTCAATCTTCATAAATTTATCATTCTGATCTCCTTATTGTACAAAGTTCTAGTTCCACAACCACTACTACTAGTAGTACCAGTTAGTAAAAGCCTACTGCTACTATCCCATTGGAATGTTCTTGCCTGCTAGTCCAAAATAATGACAAGATATCATCAGAATGCAGAGGAGTGGACAGAACGTGTCCTCTTTTACATATTCTGTCTGCTGATTGTTCCACCAGCAGTGGTGAACATCTACAGTAATATTCTTGTTCCAGTGTTGAACATGGTGTAGAGCAATAGTAGCACCAGCTGTTGAACATGTACACCAGCAATGGCACTGGTATCAGAAGCAGTAAAAATATAGTACCCCTTGTTTCTTATAATTTTCAAATCGAACTTTTTCAAACCCACGAAATTACACTTCGCTTATGAAAATTATCCCCTAGATTTCCTACTGATTCCTACGTACATTCCTACCTGACAAGCTCCTTCCGGCTTCCGAATCCACCATGGTGACACCCCCTTCTGAAGGGGAGAATCCTTCTCCTTGGCTCCATTTGAGCAACCAAGCAATCTAACCAAGACGAAGACAAGTATATCGACTCTCCCCCCAGCTGGCTGCAGTTTGCCCCTCCTGGATCCATTCCCAGTTCTCAAGGACCGGAAGCTCCTCAGTACTTTCCGGTCACGATTGTTGTTGTTTCCGACGTTCGTGCCGGAATGCAATAACACCAACCATCCCCMAGTATTCAACCAAGACCTAGTGAAGAACAAGCCTGGAGTACATGCTTTACCATATATCCTACTCAATTTAGAAGATTCCCCAGCATCTCCATGCAGTTCCAGTAATTTCCGGACCAGAAGAAGATTCCGGTCACGACGTTGTTGTTTCCGGCATTTGTGCCGGAACGCAATAACACCAACCCCATCCCCCAGTATCCAAGACCTAGTGAAGAACAAGCCTGGAGTATATGCTATATCATACATCACAGTTTAAAGCAGATTCCCCAGCATCTCCATGCAGTTCCTTTTCCAGTAATTTACAGACCGGAAGAAGATTCCGGTCACGACGTTGTTGTTTCCGGTATTCGTGCCGGAATGCAATCACACCAACCCCCCAGTATTCAACCAAGACATAGTGAAGACCAAGCCTGGAGTATATGCTATATCATATATCACAGTCAGTTTCAAACAGATTCTCCAGCATCTCCATGCAGTTCCTTTTTCCGTATTTACGGACCGGAAGAAGATTCCGGTCACGACGTTGTTGTTTCCGGCATTCGTGCCGGAATGCAATAACACCAACTCCAGCCCCCAGTATTCAWCCAAGACCTTTCCTTTGAAGAACAACGCCTGGAATATATGCTACATCATACATCATACTCAGTTTGAAGAAGATTCCCCAGCATCTCCATGCAGTTCCTTTTCCAGTATTTTATGGACCGGAAGAAGATTCCGGTCACAACGTTGTTGTTGTTGATTCCGGCATTCGTGCCGGAATGCAATAATACCAACTCCAGTCCTAATCCCCTCCCCAGTTGAGTGCAATTGCCTTAGCTGGATCCATCCCCAGTTCTCAAGGACCAGAAGCCCCCATGCTTTCCGGTCACGATTGTTGTTGTTTCCGACACTCCTGTCGGAATGCAATGACACCAACCCCAGCCTGTATTTAAACATGACCTAGTGAGGAACAAGCCTGGAGTATATGCTACATCATACATCATACTCAGTTTTTCAAGAAGATTCCCCAGCATCTCCATGCAGTTCCCTTTCCAGTATTTTCCGGACCGGAAGAAGATTCCGATCACGACGTTATTGTTGTTGTTTAACTTCAACCCCAGTTACTCCAGCTGAGGCACTCAGTTGGATCCATCCCCAGTTCTCAAGGACTGGACGCCCTTGTGTTTCCAGTCACGATTGCTGTTGCTTCCGTCATACATGCCGGAAGCCAACAGCACCAACCCCAGTATTGCCCCATTCAACCAAGACTTGGTGAAAGAAGTGCGATGTTTCCTTTTTTCTTTTTCTTTTTGGCTTTTCTTTTTGATTTTTTCTTTTTACATGTGTCCTCGCACACTGGRGCGTGTGACTTGCCTTAATTGGCTTGCCAGTGTGCTTGACACCCATTTCATTGATCACTGCATGTGATCTTGCCTACAGGTTGGGAATTGAGACCCCCCAACCTACGGGCTTGGCAGTGCTCCTTCGAAATGGTAATGGCATGGTTCTCATCCATCCAAACTGTGAACCACCATCTCCTTGATCACTGCGTATGGTAACTTGCCTACGGGTGGGGATTGGTGGCCCCATCCTACAGGCTTGGCAGTGTGACCCTTTTGTTTTATGTTCTCTGAGTCCAGTCCTGGGCCTTCATTGGCCTATCAGTGTGCATAAAACTTGGTCGCTCCTCCACAAAACCTCCTCKGAGGGAGGCGCCGCCCCTCGGTGCAGCTAGAAGCATTCTTTTTAACGAAAGCTATGGTTCTGGCCTTCCTAGTGCCTCTTCTAGTTCACGAGGTTAAATATAATATTAAGATTTTTTTTTTAGTACCCCTTGTTTCTTATTGAAAAGTCTAATACTACCTTCTTTCCAATACTTTTATTGAAGAAGAAACATCCAAGAAGAGAGGGCAGCCAGAAACGGTCCTTGTAACCAAACAGATGACTCAAGCCATAGTGATGAAGAATCAATCTCAAATGACCACTATATATGAATGGCAGCACATCCTCTCTGGTTGCTAATCCTCCTCAAGTGCTAGTAGTACCACCATCTACTGTATCTTTGTCACAGCAATATTTCAAGGATTGCATTATTTTGGTGAGAAATAACATACACCTTAATAGTGTTTGCTGAATTGAGCAAGTCAGATCTCATTCAACTAAGAATATTGTGTTAAAGCTTCCCAATGTGGCTTCAAAGTTAACATCTGCCGTAGCAGCTGCCATGGGGATATTGAAGGATACCAAAAAGGAAAGAAAGCCACTACAACCATTTAGCTGTGTTTTAGCTCATTACAATGGCATTGCAAGAGACAGAGGCTCCTGAAGATCCAGGCACTACCAATAATTGTAGCACAAAAAGATATTGATTATCAGCTTCTTCCTGTATAGTTTTTACAGTATCCAATCTGATTCAGAAAGACATGATTCATTTGCTTTCCCATTTTGTTCCAAAATATCTAAAAATGGTTACTGATGCACTTAAAGGTATTTACTGGGATCTTTATAGGGCAAGACATGGTGTACTTGTTTGGCAAGGGGAAGTCAACAACTTAAAGGCATGCTAGGAACTATTTCTTGAGGAAGAAGGTCAGCCCTGTGTCATTACTACACTATACCAAGAAGGATCAAATAGGCACCTTAAATGCAATTACTGAAGCCACCACTGACTGACAAAGAGGGAACCTTCCAAATACCATTGCAGAATTCCTAGTCCCATGATGATGCAACGCAAGATGCTGTAGCCTCTGCTGCAAAGAGTGTTGTTACTCATGGCATTCATGTGCGTTCAAATATGGTTCTCAGAAAAGGAGTGCAAAGAGGAGTTGGAGATACCGACACCGATCAAACAAAGGGTTTACCAAGTATCTTCAGACTAAGGATTCAGTTGAAGGCTGTAGTACAGTAGCAGCAGAGGTAGATCTTGAATCAATTCATTAGCATCAACCATTTTAATCTAGTAGTTCACACCATGCACCAGCAACCACCCTCTGTCCTCCTCTTGTACATGGAGCAGCAATGATATGTGCAACTAGATGTACCAAGACAAATTGAATGAATAGAAGCCTTGATAGGTTGTTAGGGAAGCATGTTTTGCCTCTTATTACCAGACTTCTTGCTGCATCTGCTGTGTCAATCAGAAGTATACCATTGAAAGGGGAACTGGTCATTTTCCTATCAATCTTGGTGTCGTTTGTGATACAAGATGCAAAATAGGATAGATACCACAACAGCCCTAATATTACTACTAGGAATGGTGGCTTTCATTGCTGAACTCCTTTTACATATTGAAATGGCATCTGCCTGCAGCTGCTGCTGACTTCTTTCTAGGTAGTAGTCAGAAAATCAGAGTGTCTATGAATTGTTTCCCCTGCATTTGTGGTGACACCACAGACAATCAACACTCAGTGGGGGAGTCTTCTTCCAGACCAGGGGTACTACTTTTGGTGTTTTAAATGTTTTGTTGAGGGCGTCTGATACTAGTGGATTGCTTCTACTGAGCATTCGTTGCAAGTTGTGCCGGAAGTTGCTCCGTATGAACAATCTCTCACGTTGAAAGTTACTTTGGGCAAACAAGCGAGATACTCATATGATTGCCTAAACCTGAGCACAGATTTAGCGCACGACCCTGGATACGGTTGGAGGAGTCACGAAGCCTAGTACCGAAGGGACTACGACTCTACGCTGTATTTGTATCCATCTTTCCATGGAAAATTGTTTTAGAATGATTATTGCTAGTAGCCCGACAAGAAGTTCCATTCTTTCACTTGGAATACAAAGAATGCATGCCGATTTCGTTTTCCGGAAAAAGGATCTTTCGTTTCCTTCCGGTGAGGTCGTTGCCCATGCAACGGTTCCGTCCTTACAATCTCAAATCGATCGAACCCGTCATCGATTTTTGATCATGCAACCACTGTATTGTACTAGTGTACTTCGTGCATTCTTGCTGCACTCAGCTGCTTTTTCCTGCTTACACGGCCTTGTTCAGACCTGCCACCGCAGGAGTATGGATCGAAACTTCCAGGAATCCCATTTCTGCCAGTTGTCTATCGCTGTGGCCTTGGTTTCTGAGTTCTGCAACTTGCAATCGCTCCGACGCAACCGACTGTTTGATTCCATGACACACGTTGTGAATGGAAGAAAAAGAATAATTTGTCGAATCGAACGAGGGCAAGTTGGGAACAAAAAGTGAGAGCCTGTTTTTCTAAGATCCAATCAGCAAATCGCCTTCCTGCGCCAGCCGTTCAGGATCTTCTCCGCGGAGCACGGGGAAGACCGTCCGGGGCGAGGCGCTTCGCGTCGCCGGCCACGACCCGAAGAGGGGGCGCCCGAACCGAAACGCAGATCACGCAAGGAAGGAAGCTCTGGTTCTACCCACCGTGATTTCCCGATTTATCTCGAAAATCAGGGGCATCAAGACGACCATGGAGGTGGACGCGAGAAACAACCCCACCGTGCCGCCCTTTTGTGCCAGCCAGTACGACCATTCCCTCGAAACCTTAAAGCCCTGCTGAAAGGAGGTCGCGGCGCGGGTGAAAAATCCCTTAATGCCTCCGCCCGTTGGTTTGTTTGTTTGTGTCATGGTCGTTCGTCCGAAATGTGTTGTGTTGTGTGTTATGTGTTGCGTTGTTTTGTTTTGTGTTGTGTTGCGTGCTTTGTGTTGCGTGCACCGCGATTGGTTTGCGAATAGGGACAACGGATACGGTAGCTGTTAGTAACTGGGAAAGACTTTTGTGGCAACTTGTGCAAAACCCAGGAAGGGAAAGATTGTCGAATGAGTGAGGAATCGAGCGATTTGCTCTAGTTTGTGAAGCCTGCGTCGAGACGATCGATTTTCGATCGACGCGACCGTCTTCGTGGTCTGTCCAGCCCCCGTCGTAGAATAGCATTCGCCTCTACGTGCGTAATGTTCGTGTTACCGGTATGTAAGTACCGTACGTACGTACTGTACGGTACAGCCAGTACAAACTACGTTCAGTTTTGGCACCAAAATACAAACCCACTGCAGCTCGCTCAGGTCGAGGCTTTTCGTATGAGTTTGTTCGATTTTTAGAACAGAACACGAGTAAAAAATCCAAATTCCATTACTCATACTAGTAGCACCGTCTTCTTCACGACGGTTCGAGAGTTTTTGTTTTTGTTGTTGTTTTACTATTGACCCTGTTGCAGTAAACCCAACGAAACTAAGCAGCAGCCCACTAGAATGACGAGAAGGCAGCCAGCGGACGGTGAAATTTCTTCACGGCAGAAATCGATTTGACTCCTCGAGAGTATGTTGGCATCAAAGACGGGACGAAGAAGTTCTTTGTTTCTCCGGCTCGATGCCAGAAGGATTCCGGGGTCGTTCTCCATCTGTGCCAGAAGGTGGTTTTCGGTGAAGGAACTCTCTTGGTGCGCCCCGAAAGGTTCTCCGACCCGCCGCCCGGCCCGCTACCGGGGTTCGGAAGACAAAGACGACCGCAGCGACGAGGCGGCAACGAAAGCAAACCAAACCCTACGCGACCCCCGCGAGCGGACCCCCCCATCCAGCAAGGCCCTCCCAATCGGCGCCTTTGGCATTGTGGCCGCGGTCTGCAGCCCCGCGTACGGCACCGAACGCACCAATAGCAGCGGGATTATCGGGGTGAACGGCAGGCTGCCGTGGGGGTCCCTCCCCAGAGACCGAGCCCTGTTCGAGCGCCTCACCCGGAACCGCATCCTCGTCGTTGGACGCCGCACGCTCCTGGACGAGCGGGACGGTGCCCTCGATCACGTGCGCCACGCGAAACACTGCATCGTGGTGTCCGGGTCGATTTCTTGCACGGAGAGCGATCCCCGAATCGCCCGCCATCSCGAGGAGCACGGGCTCGGTCTCGAGGTCGCCGGGTCCCTCGACGAGGCACTGTGTATCGCCCGGACCCTGGCAGCGAAAGACGACGAAGAGCGCAGGGGTGGTACCGACGACCCCGGCGGCCGCGGTGCGCCAACCTTTCGGGCTTCGGATGGAAACGGGAAGGGCGAGGAACCCATCGAACCACCKATGGGGGTTTCCCTTTCGACCGATTCCATTCCGTGCTGGGTTGCGGGGGGAGAACGGCTGTACGAAGAGGCGCTGAAGCACGGGTCGGCGCTCGAGCTCCACCTCTCGGTCGTCGATTTCGAGGTAGACCTGACTGCTCCGGCCGTGAAGAAGGTGGCCAGGTTTCCAGCGAAATACCGATGGGACCACAACTACGAACCCGTTGCGGAGACTCTATTTCCACCAAACCACGGGGATTCAGGCCAAGAGTCGGCCAAGGAACCGGGTTTCGCCTATCGCGTGTACAACCGGATCCTTCGAAAGAAACCKTGACGGGAGAAGAATCGATCCCTGCCAGGGCTCGGTCAACGCTGCAATTCTGTGCACTGCAAATACGTGCACGGTGCAACGGATCGGAGAGCTTTCCACTATTCTTCCACGAACGGTAGGGGAACGGTGTCTAGAATTTCACAGCCCTTCCGCTACGGCACATCGGACGCCAAGAAGCACGGCCCAGCGGTGCTTGTTGCAGTCGGTTGATCTCTGTGAACAAGCACACGTCCACTACAGGAGACAACGCCATAAGCTTCGAAAACAGAAAAAATCCATGCGGATTCTTCTTCTCTGTCCTTTTGGGAGAGGTCTTGCCGATTTCGCCACTGCCATTATAATAGTAGCATGGCGGTAGCGGAGACAGCAGATGCACAACAACAACAAGAAACACCAGATAAACGTAGTACCAGCTGCAACGAGAAGAAACGAAAACGTCCTCCTGCAATCCCTGTCGCTTCTACTACTAGTTGTCTTCTTATACTACTAGTAGTAGTACTTGCACTAATATTATGTTAGTGCTAGTTGGATAATCTAAAACAGTACTGCAATTAACTCCGTCTTATGGTATGTGTGTTTGTTGTTGGTTGCTCCTTGTTACTTACATTGCACCGCATCCTAACGTGATTGACTTTTTTAGTCACGATGCTCCATCCATGAACCTCAAGAATGCTCTCTAAAAACAAAAAAAATACCCATGGTCGTTCGAATTCATGCGGTAGCATTTTCATTTCGTATTTCCTACTCCCTATTCCTTCGATTTTCTCTTCTGTTCTTTGCCTTTTGGTTGTTGTTCTCGCTACTCCTACCCTCCAAAGTCCTTGTACCGGTACGTAACTCGAAAACAACATACAGTATTACCGCTACACATACCGCCGCGTTTCTTCGAAATCCCGAACGGCAGCGTTTCGTTCGTCACGGCACCAGTTTCGGTACGGTACATCCGGCACAGCGATCGCAGCAGCATCGAAGCGCAGTGCAKTGCAGTGCATCGCAGGCTTGCACGGCTCTTGGAAACCATGGACGACTCCACCCGATTCAGCACGGGGTTTGCTTCCCTCCCGGCAACGGCAAGCACCGCCGGCGAAAACGAAAACGATCCAGACCTGCTGCCCGACCCGGACGAGGGCTTCGTGTTGTTTCCGGAGGACGAGCCGAGCGGTGATCCGTCCACCTCGTTCCCCGACGCGACGAAACCCGACCACTATTATCCCTCGAAGAGCCAGTGCGCCCACGGCGATGACGAGGAAGAGCAGCACATTCTCGGCACGATCATCGTCCGCGTGGTGGCCGCCAGGGGCCTCGACGAGCCCCCCCACCACCAGCGGGAGACCGGCGGGCTGCGGGGCGTCTTTCGGCAGTCCCAGGCGCCCGCAACGAACCCGTACGCGTCGCTCAAGTTTGGAAGCACCACGCAGCGGACCTCGGAGCTCTACTCGACCCTCGATCCGGTCTGGCCGCGCGACGAGGTCTTTTTCATGGACGTCTCGCTGCCGGTGTCGCAGCTGACCCATTCGGCCGAAACACCGCTTTCGTCGTCGTCGTCGTCCTCCGAGGAGGTCCACCACGAGGATGCGGCACCGGAAGCTCTCGATGATCCTTTCTACAGCTACCAGAAACCCGACAACACGGCCCTGACGGTGGCGATCTTCCATTCCGAATCGGGGAGCAACAACCTCGGCAAGCACAAGCACAAGGACAAGCTGGGCGAGGGAGGCACGGTATCGGGGGATTCGGACGACGCCTTTCTAGGAATGGCCTCGATCGACCTGGCCGCACTCTTTACGGGCATGGTTCCCGAGCTAGACGAGTGGGTGCCGCTCCATGGCACGGCCAGCGACCACCACCACGTTGGCCACCAGGAACACTACCGCTCGTCGAACCGGCACAGAACCACCCGGGGTGCGGCGGTCCGCATCGTCTGCGAATACGAACCCAGCGATGCACCGCCCAAGCCCGGAGACATTTGCCGCTTCACCAAGTTCTGCCACCCGAGGGACCTGTATCCCCTCGAGCCCTCCCGGTCGTACAAGGTCGACACGGTCCGCGGCAACGGAACCGCCGTGATCCTGTCGTACGAGAGCCCAGAGGGGTGGCTCCTGTCCTTTCAGGCCCACCGCAACATGCTTTTTACAGAGGAACGCCACGTCTCGCCCCTCAACACGGCTCAGGACGAGCTGCAGACGCTCGGGGAACGTTTGGCGGTCTCGCCGCTGATCGCGGCCGTGACCGAAACGGCCGAGAGGGTCCTCGACGACGGCCTGGTCGGGATTGCCGGGGAGATTGTCAAGGGGAGCGCCTTTGTTTTTGACCGCTGGTTCAGGGGCGGTGTCGATACGGTCATTCGGGACCTCCGGGACGTGACGAACCTTGATGGCCGGCACAACCAGGATGCGATTGGGGAGTCCCTCGAGATCGGCCTCGGATCTTCGGCATCCCTGGACGATGCCAGCGACGACGGGGTGGACAATGCCGAAAGCTGTGCCGAGCACGAACCAGCGGCGCTCGATCCTATCGAGGAACAACAAGGCGAGGCCCTGCCCAACATGCCCCCCTGCCCGATCACGGGATTTCCAATGGTACGAAAGCAAAAGAAAATCCGTTGGGTCGCACCCATCACGTCTATTGTGGTTTGTTGGATTTGCATTGCAATTTATGGCAAACATACGATCTCAACACTTGTTATCTTTCGTGTTTTCCTATCCTTGTACAGGTGGATCCCGTGGTGGCAGCCGATGGCCACACGTACGAGCGAAGGGCCATCCGCCGGTGGCTGGGGACCAGCGACAAAAGCCCCATGACCGGCTCGGTATTGCTGCACAAGGAGCTGGTTCCGAACTACGGACTGTTGTCGAGCATCGAGGAAGCCGCGACTCGAGAGGACAACAACAGAGAGTCGTACTTGGCGTCGTCTTTTGACACGCACGTCCTTGTAGACAGCGACGACGAACGAAAACCGCCGCCAAACACGGATGCGAATGCCCACGCATGAGCAAATAATACTTGTGTTGTCTTGCAAGTCACAAAGACAAAACCATCCGGATGATTTCCCGAACTTTGCAAATCGGATCTGCTCGTGTCGTAGTATTACACACGTATCCTCCCAATTTAAATGCAAATGTAGTTATTGTGTTATCATGATGACCATCTATGTATTCGTATGTTCCTTATTATTATTTGTGTTCTTCTCTTTCCCCGAGAAGACCTTTTTCAGGGTGCCCAGACGCTTGATTCGTGCAGCCCTTGCCTCTGCTTGGAGCTTGTTCAAGTCACAATCCTCGTCCATCGATCCGCATCTTGCCTTTTGTTGCTTTGTCCAGCGATGCAGTTCGATTTTTTTCACGGGGACGTTAGTATGACCGTGTTTCTTGTGAAAGGACACTAGGTCTTCGTACAACCGGTCCCACTTGGCCAGTCCAGCGGTCCACGGAAATCCGATGCCATCGAGGAGCTCTATTCGATTGGGTGGCAGTTTGTTTGCGTTGTACAGATACCGTGTGTGGCGGACCCAGGCATGCAGTTCTTTGTATTTACCGGAGCCCGTTGGTATGGAAAAATGTTTGAACTCTCTCTGGAAGGCACAGAGGTTTTCGAAATGGTTCGCCCAGTTTTCGTCGTGGATGGACAACTCAAACGTCACATTCATGAGTCTTTTTATTCGTTCCTCTGCTTCTACCTTTGGGGATGTGTCCTCCCATTCGAATCCAATACTGGATAATTTTTGAACATTTTCTTTTGTAATGAGGGATTTTACAGCCCCCTCCGATACCGTTTCATCGTCGCATTTTTGGCTATCCCCGAGACGCAAACGTTTCCTGTAGCTCCTACGCTGTCGATCGACCCAGTTCCAAAGAGGTCCCATAGTTTTGGGAACTCGGGTATGATTGTGCTTTTGATAAAAGTCGCAGAGCTGGGTATAATATTTATCCCAAGTTTCGGCGTCGGGGTCCCAAGTGAAGTCGATGTCGTTCAATGCCTTCGTGCGATCTCTGGACAACACGTTTTGGTGATGGAACCTTCTCTGCCGGGCGACCCATTGTCCCAAATAGTTTGGACTTTCATCGTCGTCGACCAATGGCACCATGGTATCACCGTGTTCTTTTTGATATCGGTGAAGATTTTGATAGTTTTTCCACCATCTAGCATCGTTAGGATCAAATACAAAGTTAATACTGCGCAATAGGTCTTCTCGTTCACTCGGCATGGTCCCCTTCTTATACGCCTTTCGCTGCTGATCAATCCACGAATGCAAATGTGGATCACCTTCCCTGATTTTTGGTAATGTTTCTTGCTCTTTGTTCTCGCATTGCAATTTTTTAAATTTGTTGAAACATCGTTGCCAGTGTGCCTCGCGACAGGACCACATAAAGCCTATTGATTCCAAGACAACGATCCTCACGGCAAGCGACTTGCTGAGTTTTCCTTTCTTGGTATTAGACACTCGGTATTGTTTTCTTTGTTTGACCACCCAATCGGCAACTTCTACAGGTACATTTAATTTTGTTCTCTCTTCTCGAGTGCTCTTTGTCTTTCCAGTCGGTACATGGCAATCTCCATGTTTGGCCTTGTACTTCATTAGAAAATCGATCATCACTTTATCTGTGGGATCGAGCTTGCTATGTAAATCCGCTATTGTTGTCAAATCATCGTCCGAATGGGACTGGTTTTCGGTTCTCAACAGCGTTTCTGATACAGCAGCCGAAGAAGTTGAAAGTTTGTGACGTTTATCTCTGGATCTTAGACAATGAGCTGGCGGAAGTACAGCCCGTGATACCCTTGACGACTCACGTCCATAATTCAAAAACTGTTCATTAATGAATCGTCGCTCCTGTTGGTAATCGAGGCCACCGATGAGATCTACCAGCGTCCCGAATTTTCTTAGGCTCACAACTGCAGGGGAAAATTTATAATCTATCAAATCCGATTGCCGGCGATCGCTTTTTGTCGATATTGCGTCACAATGAGCCGAAGCCCGGTTCGATCCCAATCTACGAATCAATACTTCTTTTGTTGTCCGCAATCGAGGCACAGTCTCGTTAGGATTTACGTTTACGCTACGACTTGCTTTTGTCGGCAGCAGTGTTGACAAGGAACGAAATAATCTCATAGAATAGTGGATAGCTGACTTTCTATGCTGTACTTGTTGGTCGTGCTATTTTGATGATGATAGTGATGAAGAACAAAGATGCTAGTGATACTTTTCCCAAATTCATAAAATGAAAAAAATCATCCAAAAACATAAAAATTCAAAAACGCAACAGTGACATCCAGAGTTGTCTTAGTCGACTACATCGATCTCTGAAAGAAGAAAGAAACAGCCAAACAATGGTTTTTTGGTCAAATATTAAATACCATACATATGTTCAGTTAGTAAGTACCGTACGGTACTATACTAGGTACAAGATGTTCAGTACGTGACTAGTCAATCGAGTCGTGTCAGTCGAATTTCCTTATGAAGAGGACCATCTCCACCACGAAAGTTTGTTCTCGGCACGAACACGACAGAAGAGGCTCTTCTGGATGGATGGAGTATTTTGTAGAGTATTTTTTTTGGTTTTTCTCTGTCTATCTAATTTTTGTGCCGTTTCATCATCTCCTTTCTCAGAAAGAACTACTGTACGCACAAGCTAACGGTACAGTATTGGCACCCCTTGACGTTCTTGCGTAGAGGGACTCTTTAGGTCAACAACAGTTTCACGGACGAACATCCTAACGTGGAAATTAATAGGAATAGTCATCACAACGCTGTACCTAGCACGACGGAATTGTAGCTCTCTGATAGAGAACGACGATAACGACAACGGACTATATTTCGACCATTGGCATGCAGAACGACAGCAATGATGACGTCGGAGGCAGGGCGAGGCAGGCTCTGACCAGTGCTGAGACAAGTAAAGAAAGACTGGAGGAACTGTATAAGATTCCGAAATGCAAACTGCCACCGGCCTCAGAAATGGCTGCGATAGAAACTTTCGTTGTGAATGCAATTCAGTCACAAGAGCCTCGTAATGCTGATACAAACAACAAGTTGGATCCGACTCATTCGGAAGCCTATAGAGCGATCCTGACAGCCCTGAAACGACCAAACGACCCCCCAATGATATGCAAGGTGCTACTGGCACTGAGGACCGCCGGGCATGGCTCCATCTTGAGTCTTCTGGCGCTGAGAGACAACCACGCACAACTTCTTCATCTAGTGATTCGATTCGTGTCTACATTACCTCCAACCTTTGACGAGACTTTGACGGGAGATCCGGGTGCCATGCTACAAGTATACAAAGATTATTCTCTTTGTGATGCGCATTTCAATTTGCTCCTTGCCATTGTTAGCGCAAAGTCGACGCACGTTGTTCCCGTACTGACAGCAGTTTGGAAACTGTTGACGAATTTTGGCCCGATAGAAGACAAGGGAGTGTAAGTAACTACGTTGTTACTATTTGTGAAAAACCTACCGAATGAATGATCAAAGGAAGCAAAGAAAATCGCCACAAGATCAACGGTAGTTGGAAACTACTCGACGACTCGACTTTCTCACATTGACATCCTCCTCATCCTACTTCTATAGAATTCACCGGATTCATTCCATGATTTTCAACGTGTTAAGGTTAGTTCCCAAATCAATGTCAGACGTGTATCCGATTATTGCATCGAAATTCCCATTTTGGTTAAAGGATAAGGAGTCTTTGGTATGGTATACCAAACAGTCTTTCAAGGTTCTAGATTATCTGCCCTCGATTCGTCAACGAGTATTCGAATTATTAATTGAGAAATGCGTAGAAATCGATGTCAACATATTTATCAAGGACAACGGAGATGTTACTATCGATGAGACGGAACAGCGCAGTGCCGAGGATGAGGATGAATACGGCCAAAAAAATACGAACAAGAGCAAAGTCAATTTGAATACGAGTGTCGATGTTTTGTCAGACAAGCTCGATGCACTCTTGGAACTTCTGTTTGACAACATCCAGTCCGGATGCCAAGCCGGAGTTTCTAGTACCCAGAAAATATACCACGAGTTGGTACAGATTTTTGAAAGCACGATACTGACAACACACAAATCGAAGTTTGTACAATTCTGCATATTCCTTCCGTGTGGATTGGAGGCGCAGATCGCAAGCAACAATGAAATGATCGAGAACATCGAACAGAAATCAAACGAATCACCCATTACCGTCTCAGCATCAAACAGCAAGGGCGTTATCGAACATGAGGAAGAAGCCATTTTGTACCGCGAGTTTGCTTCGAAACTATTGCAAATTCTTGTTGATCCATATCGGGCAACAACTACGAGACAGAGCTGTGCATGTTATTTAGCTTCCTTCGTCAGTCGGGCTGCCTTCATCGGGATCGATTCAGTATGTGAATCTATTTCGGCATTGTTGACATGGGCAGAAGCCTATATCGGATCTCTGGGGATATATTCGGTTCGTGCTGCGGATGCTAGGCAGCAAAGCGAACATCATGCTCTCTTTTATACAGTTTGTCAGGCAGCATTCTACATCATGAGCTTTCGCGGAAACGAAGCTATTGAATATTATAGGAATGCCGTGAAATATGAAGCTGCGAATGCGGACGGAACTATGAATGACGATTTAGGTCAGGACAATGATGAGCCGCAGTACCCCGATTTGGAATGCATTAACTTGGATGGCAAGCGATGGACTTCTTTGTGTGGACATGCGCTGCAACCGCTTCGATTTTGCTTAGAGAGTGTAAGGAGTGAATTTCTTCACATGGCACACTTTTATACTCTCATTGACGAAGAGGTCCTGAATAAACTAGTAGCGGATGCTAAACGTCTGTCAACAGGACGAGTGAATAAAAAGGCAGCGTCCTCGATCAAGACAGCAGCGACGCTAGAACGTCGCCGACAGACGGGGGGCGTAGGTGGATTAGGTAGAGGTTCMAACCCGCTCAAGTCATTTTTTCCTTTTGACCCGCTGTTACTTCGACAATCTCACGGGTATATCGAGCCTCTTTACAAGTACTGGGAAGGGCCAGTCGAAGAGGAGGACGTACTTGTGATTGATGAGATTCAAAGAGACGGCGATCCTACGTTTTACATGGATGATGACGAATCCATTGAGGAGTCCGATGGAGAAAATGAGAACTCAGATGATGACGACGACGACTCAGATATTGATCACTCGGAAGCACTATCGGATAGTGAAGGGTATGACAGACCCAGCAATTTATTGACACCTGATGCCTACAAAATCAAACTTCTACAACAAAAAGCCTGGACCGAAACACTGAAGAGACCAAGGTCGCAGAGTATGGAAAATGGCAGCTGGTAAATCATGAAGTGGGTCGTSCCTAGATTATTAAGAACTAAGAATAATCTTCAATGTGACAACCATAAAAAAATAATCGTGACTATACTTCGCAGCCATAATTTCTAAGAATAAATTCGCATTTCACTCGTCATGTGGTACTCGTTCTTCATATTGTGAAGTGCTTCGATTTTAGGGTGGCGGGATGGATGCTTTCTTCAAGAAAATATCATAAACAACAGTTGCCCCTGGTTTTACCAGACACTCGCCGTTTTCTAAGCAGATTCCCTTATCTCCGAAAGCAAGTGCAGGGGGAATGATCGCTTGCACTTTTTGTCCAACCTTCATTTCCGAAACCATAGAATTAATACCCTCATTAACAGCCGAGCTTACGAAAAAAAGAGAAAGGCGCCGAAACATTTATTTTTAGTCTTCTAGACTCGATGCACCGATTTCATTAATAATAATTGTGCGACGATTGATCCAAAGTCGCGTTAGAATAACTGTTTCTCACCTTCCTAACTTGAATAGAAGGGCATTCTTCTTTCCTTGGCTGTGTGTTGCATCAAAAATCGCACCATTCGAGAGGTACCCCGTGTATTCGATTGCAATTATATCACCTTGTTCCGGGTAAGATCCCTTGGTGACGTCTTGAGTGATTGCATATTTTATACCATTGCTTAGGTTGTAGATCGTTGGAGCAGCAGCCGCATTCTGAATCGGATTGAGTGCCGCGGCTGTTACCACAGCTGCTGTAGCAGTGGATAAGAACCCCCGACGAGATTCCATTGACGTTTGTTTTTCAGGACCCATCCGCATGGAAAAGGCCTGTGTCTTTGCACACAGGAACGATGCGAGAGCAATCGTGGCGAGGGTGGAAATGCGCATCATGGTTAGTATTGAATCCAAGTAATTGATGAATGAAATATAATGATATGTGTAAGAAAATTGTGTCAATGAAGTGGCAAACCATTTGACGTGATTTCGAACAATTTTTTAACTTGGAAACTTGAAGGCCCAATCACTGATGCAGCTCGTACCCGTTGCGCTCCCACGATCTTTTGAAACCGACACATCATACCTCCATCTCATCATGAAAATCTGTTGACGTTCAAAACAAAAAATAATGCGTGTTCAAAGCCCATCGTCTTCTAAATTCTAAACTATGACCCCAAGGTGGTAAAGGAATCAATTCCACGATTGAAATCATTCATGAATGAATTTTGATGGTTGATGGATGGATGATGGTTTCTATGTGACTGCGAGTAAAGTACGAACCGTACTACGAGATGATTTTGATGCTTCCTCGTAACTGACTCCTACCGGCGATCGTTGCTTATTTGTTCAGATGCTGATGAGATGCAAGTTTTGGGAAGCAAGGAAACAGGTAACCTCCCAGGAACCTGGAAACTTGAAAACGCGAACAACAGTTCTACGATTTACAACGTCGTGGAAGCCGTCAATTGTCGTCAATTATGATACACCGTCTCTCTACTTCCAGTCGTTTTCTTCGAAAGAGCTCTCGTGTGCTGCAATTTCGGCTATATTCTTCTACTTTCATTCGATCGGAATCGAGCGATACTGAGCTGAGCAGGATTCTGAAAGAGCTGAGTAATGGGAAGCTAACAGCATCCGAATCCGAGACAATGATTCGTCGTCAATTGAACTTGTCGACATCGTCCGGGACGGATCCGTCATCAGCATCACCGGACGAAATCTTAAAATCGTTTGCCGATATCGATCACACACGATCGTCGCGTACAGGCTTTCCAGAAGCTGTCTTTGGAGCGGGGAAAACAGCAAATCAAATTGCCATGATTCTTGACGATATGGCTCGGCATTTCAACGAGAAGGTTTCGGAAGGCCAGGGCGTCATCGATAACTCTCAGCGCGCTATTCTTGCGACGAGGTGAGTGTTGTGCGCGTTTATTCGATTCGAACAGTTGCCTGTTTCTTTTTTGACAGAAAAACGTTTGCAACTGGCGAAAAGTGACTTATAATATTGGAAAACATTTCACTCGTGTTTTCACTTCAGAGTCTCCCCTGAGCTTTACGAGAGCGTCAAATCAATCCAATTATCACATGGACATCTAGTTTATCATCCAGCCGCAAATATAATATCTATGATTCCATCGCTTTCTACAGAAAAAAACATCGACTGCGAAAATTCTCTGCCACCACGAAAACGGATTGTTGTCGCAACCGCCGGCACCACAGATCTTCCAGTCGCAGAAGAAGCGGCAGTTGTATTAGAAGCCGCACATTGCAAGGTAGACAGAATATTTGACGTTGGAGTGGCCGGGCTACACAGGGTAGTCCGGGCCTTACCACGATTGCAAGACGACGAAGTTGGTTGCGTTATTGTTTGTGCTGGGTAAGTTTCTCTGCATTGTGTTGGCATAAACTATCGAACGATCATTTTCACGACCGCAGATTTATCTAAATCATTCTATATTTTTTTTAATATCCATAGGATGGATGGCGCCCTTCCAAGTGTGGTTGGTGGGCTTGTTTCATGTCCTGTCATTGCCGTTCCGACAAGGTACGTAGTGTTGAGAACATTTGCACTAGTGGTATGTATCTATTTGCTTTCAAAGATCTAAGTCTAATTGTATTTCTCTCACAGCATCGGTTATGGAGTTTCGTTGGGTGGTATCAGTGCGATGTTGACGATGCTCAATAGCTGTGCACCGGGAGTCGGAGTCGTGAACATCGACAATGGATTTGGTGCGGCAGCACTTGCATACAAGTGCGTTTTGTGATGTTGTATCACCCATAGACAATATATTTAGATCCAATCACAAAGAATTGAGTAGATTTATTCGATGCGCATTCAATTGTACCAAAGCGTTATTGACAATGAATCCTTAGTCCAGGCAACGTTTTCGCTGACAGATATTTTCCTAATCGCGCGAACCCCTCTGAAATTTGAATCCCTTCTCCTCGGCTTCTCCCATCTTTCTCATCCAGAGTGGCTCTGGCAATACTTCATTGATTTTCTTTTCGAGATCCTCGTAGTTAGGACGATCTATTTGGTCGGGAAGGACTGGGATTTCCTTGTTTCCGTCTTCCTCTTCGCAAATAACACACGATTTCCAATTGGGATACTCAAAGGTCAGTTTGAGATCCTCTCCACGACAAGCAAATTCTTGAAATGCAAACCCCTGTGTATACTTGTTGAAAATAGAGTTCTTGCTTCGGTCGCTACTGCCAAATCCAAAATCGGCGGGTCTCTGGAACTGCTTGTTGAACATTATCAAGGTTCGTTCCTTACCTACCATGGCATCGATGTCTTCGATTTGCTGGAGTTGATCGACTCCCGGAAAAAGAATTGCGGCGACATCGTTTTTTGCCGATGTTTGGGATTCCTGAACAAAAAATCCACAGCAATCCGGAGCACTAATCACCTGGGATGAACACTGCTGCACCGGGTCTTCGACCACTCCTTTGAGGATCGAAGACAGAATTTCTTCGGCGTATGGATACATTTGGGCAAGACCACCAGGCCAGGGATCAATGTCTTCGGCTTTTGTTTCCGGAGGCAATGGCACTAGGTAATCGACGAAAAGACGAACGGGTTTCCCTTCCTCACGGCGTCCGTCGATTGCGTTCTTGATGCTCCGTATCGCACGGGAGGTTTGTTCCTGAGGAGTCGCTGGAATCAAAGCGACGACCGGACACAAGAGGGACAGTAGTGTCAAACACAAAACGAATCCAGCCGTGAAAGCCGAAAATGCGATGGTGTGTTTCATTGCAATATCTAGATCCAGTCTTTCAAGACGTTCTTCATTGAATGAAATGCAGTACTTGGTATAAATTATGCTTGGGAGTGGAAAGATGGCCCGTTGTCGAGATAGAAACTTGAATTTCTTTATTGGCGTTTGCAAGGTGGAAAATGAGAAAGAAGATTGAGTACGGACGTGCGTACGTACCACTGCAATGTGTGGGTACGTACGTAGATCCAAAAAAGAATGTTATTGTACCGACTCCGGACCTGTCTCGCCCTCTTTTGGGTTCTTACCGACATAAATGTTGTTGACTAAGTCAGAGTACGTAGTCGTGGGTCCAGTAACGCAAGGTAACTGGAATGGAAACGCGTCGTTTCGTAACGTCCGTGGGGATAGGGGATCCTAGTAACATACCGGTACGTACGGTTTTTACTAGTGCAAAGCGTACGAGTCCTACGTATGAATACAGCGTACTGTAAAAAGTACGATTACGTACCGTACAGTACCTGGTACCGTACGACTGAGTAATTGATATTCGAACCTCCAACCAACAAAAGGCTAATCCTGTACCGTACCGGCCGGTACTAGAAAATGCTCTGTCGAACTACGATTTACAGTATTTTCTCCTTGTGCTTCCCTCACAGATCAGATTCAAAATAATTGGTTTTTCCTTTTTCGGTTTTTCTCCACAAAATTGAGCCATGCAAGGAAAATTTAAAATTTGCGTTTACTAGTACTGGTCATGATCATCATTTTTTTCCGTTTCACGAATGCTTCGAAACAGATTCATTATTTGGGTATAATGTAGGATTTCGGATTTCGAGCTACGTATGATTACTTCCTTAGCCATTGACAAGTGGGCCATATTCTGGGGACTTCAATACAATTAGTGGCGAACGGATTTCGCCTCCTATAATACCTTCCGCATCTGGTACTGATTTGGTTTGATCGAGTGTCGCAGTGSATGTGCAACCTTCAGTCTCTTCCCAAAGTAACGATGAATCAATCAAGCAATCAACAACGAGCCACTCAATTTATCCCTGGTATCAGTGTTCGTCGGAAGCGACGGGGGTAGGTTGTTTTATCGGTTCGGTTCGATGCATCCGAGCTATCATTTGCACCGCAAGATTCGGTAGAAACGAACATGGCATCATCGATCAGAGGTTTTCGCTGCTTGGTGAAGGAGATCTCCTTGGTGTTTTCTGCGTGTTGGTTTTCGTCGCCCGAGGTTTCGGTTGTAAGCCCGGAGGACACAAGGCCCGATGAGAACCAGCCACGACAAGCTTGGTCGGTTATTTCTTGCCGGAGGATGCGTTCTTCTTCGGTATCACTGAACGAGCATCCAACACCGAACTGTGTAAAGTTCGCTGCAACACCGTCTCCCCGGGCTTTCATCATGCTTTTCGATAATTCGTCGTACCTGTCCCACGTGCTTTGCAACTCCTGAAACTCCTTCTTTAGATCTTCCTTGGAATGTACATTTTCCTTTTTTTCAAAGACTACATCATTTTCGCAATGGGAGCGTCTACCATGATCGCTGTTGTCATCATTGCCATAGACAACTTTGTTGTGTATTTTATCCGGGTGAATTACCTGCAGTCTCTTCAGGTATGCCTTCCGCAGGTCTTCGTACGAGTAAATGGAAAAGTCAAGGCGCTTATGCCCCTCTGGCCCCGTTCTACTGTAATTTTCTCGAAAGAGCAGGTTCACTAACTTCTGCTTCACGTCCCGAGAGGTAGCAGCCGCGGCTGCTCTGGTTGTGCTCATCGTCTTACAGCGTGGGGATGGAGTGGCACGCCCCATCATCCAGTTCAGTTGCCGAAGGCAAGGGCGCCGCAACGGAATCGAAAATTTGATACCCGATGTCGTCATATCCGCAGATGTGTCGTATCGTATTGCGTTGTATGGTATCGTATTTGTTTGGTCTTGGTTCAACTACACTACTACCTGTGCTTTTCGAAAATAAATATTTTCGGTTTGTACCCCTGTTATGCTAAGTCCGATCAACATCCAGTTTGCTATTCATTTCAATATGACGTCATTCAAGGCATTGACATTGGATCACGTGCATTTCCAAGGCTGTGTTGTACTGTCGCTATGATCCATCGGAATGTACTCACAACCAAAAGTACTGTACTCAAAACATGCTATTGTGTGGACTTACGATTTACACTGCATGCATGTGTTATGCTTGTGTTCGACTTCGGTGAGAATCGTGTGAATTTTAGCCCAAAAAATGTCAGCAGAAGGAATGAAATTCTTTCACGTTTCGTTATCCCCAGCTCTAATTGAAATTCCATCATTACTGTTTACGTCCTTGCGTATGTCCGTTCTCTCTCCTACCGGTTTACTGCATCATGTAAAATAAAAACCGTCATCGAGACCAGCGGTTTCTTTTTTACCACTTACGTTGGAAACTGTACCACTAGTAGTGAATCAACGTAAAATCTGCATAGAAGAGGATCACGTGTACCATGCAGCAGAAGCGTTGTGGCTTGAAACCCCCGAAGCAACGCTCTCTCACTAATTGCTGTCTGCTCCCTTCAACGAACGGTAAGTTTCACCATGGCTCCTCTGTTTCAGCATCTTTCCGCTACGGAGATCAGCTCCCGTCATCAAACACAATAGTGCAGACTGTTTAAATTGGTCCCTGTTCGCTTGTCGCTTGCTCATCTCTTTTCTCGTCTGCGTGTTTCATCTTGTTATTCAATCGTGTTTTTGACATGTCTCAAAAGGTACGAGTAACCAATTAGAAACATAAAAGTTAAGAAAACTATCAACATGCAAATTTTTGTCGGATCCAACGCATACGAGGTTGACCCCTCCACCTCTGTCGAAGCCCTCAAGCTTCAAATCGAGAACGCTGAATTCGTTCCTGCTCACCAGATCTGCCTCATGAACGGAGCCGATGAGCTCGAAGAAGGTACCCTTGAGACCAACGGTGTCGAAGGTGATGATGCCCTTGAGATGAGAATGGCCGTCACCTCGGGTATGCGTAAGAAGTGGAAGAAGAAGCGCATGCGTCGCCTTCGACGCAAGCGCCGCAAGATGCGTCAACGAGCCCGTTAAACACGCACAAATGAATTTCATTCGTCCTCAAGGCTCGGCGTTGGGGGGAGGTTAGCATAGTATGGGGCGAGTTAGGCTATGTACCTCCCTGCCTAAAAAGTGGATTTAGACATAGTTAAGGTTGGATTACTATTTAGCTATCCGGTTCATTCTTTACATGTTTCTTCATCTTTAATCTTWACAGTATTATGCGCATTACACTGCGGTGCAAATCTGTTTTTCATGTGGATGCTGCTGCAGGTGTTGTCTAGGACGGCGCATAGACCGCTTGCCGAATGAAAACTCCGTACACCGTGAAGGATAAACAAACGGTCCGTCGGGTCGGAGACCACAGCAGTAGTTCCTTCCATGAAAAAWTTATCGACCACTATTATTTTCATTCATAAGTTGTTTGTGTGGCAAACGTTCAACGCAATTTCAACGGAATTGCTAATCAACTACAGGAACTTATTTTTCGAAGGGCACTTCTGGAAAATAAAGAGGTGTTGGTCTTCGGCCAGGGACAACACTACTGACTTCCGTCATGTTTATTCGCAAACCCTTATCGAAAATACTGTTCATCACAAAGGTCATGACAGGATGGCCTTTGCTCTCTTCAGTGAGACCGTCGACCATATCTCTGTAATCGGAAAGCGGGACCCATTTTGCCTCGGATATTTCACAGGCTTGTGGAACAGGAGTCGGTATGCTACCGTCGTCATTTTCCTTTGGTATTAGGTGACACACAAAGAAAAGGTCGCTCCTGCCATTGGCGACGCCATGGGTGTGACGGAAGGATAAAATACTTTGGCATGTTGCCGTGATCCCTGTTTCCTCCAGAACTTCTCTCACAGCCGCGTCGTGGATGGATTCTCCCAGATCTGCTAGGCCGGTAGGGATCTTCCACGGATGGTAATTTCTTCTTAGCTCTCGGATGCACAAAATTTCGTCCTTACTATTGATGACCACCGCCCCGACTCCTACATGATGGGTTGCAAACTCTGGAACCTTTGATGGGATGTCTTCTCGAAGCCAGGTATTAAGTTTTGCGGTTGTACCCTGCGCGTGATGGTATTCGAACCCCAAATCGGCAGCTTCGATCTCTTCAATCAGTCGAGCTTTCGCCATCGGAACTTCCACCCATAAGCTAGACTTCTCCAATTCTCGGAGAACGCTAACCGTATTCGCCAGCAAAGTGGAGAAGTTTTCTAGATCAAATGCATAACTTTCGTCTTTGCCGTTGGTAGGTATGGTCACCGTAGCAGAGTTGTGCGAGCTATCGACGTACGGCAATATTTCTTTCGTTCGTCCCTCGTCACAACGTGAATTTTCTGCCTCTACCTCGGTACTTTCCATGCTTTGAGTCGAATTTTCGGTGATTGATACCATTGCAAGCGTGAGGGAAGTGAGATGTATTGCACGTGATCCACAATCCCGAGACTTGGGAGGAGAGAAATTACAGTTAGACGAAAACGCGGTAACAATGTGACCTCCAGTGAATCTGAAACAACCGGTAATGGATGCTGTGCCGGCATATAGCAAGCTTGATCCCAGTACACGGCTGAATCTTATCATGATAGGCGAACTCGTTAATACTGAATACAGTAATCGTTTCTGAAATGAACGTCGTCAGCACCCGAAGCACTGATACTAGTTTGCACTTTGAATCAAAAATAAAATGATGAGGTCCTCTATTCGGCATTCTCCTTTTCTTTCCTTCTCTCAAAAATTCAAATTCTGGAATCATACGTGTACAAATATCCTATTAGCTGAGCGACAGGAACAACGCAGCGTATATAGTAGTACTGTACGGTACGTACCTTACTAGGCAAGCCCCATGCTGCTGGCAAGTTATTGGCACTAATGGTTGTCAATTTTTTTTAATTTTCCTGTCTCCATTTCTCCTCTCACCCCCCACCAAAAAAACTAGAACAAGTCCATGAAATATGTCTATTATGAGCCCTTACTACTAGTGCGGATACTACAATATCAATGGTTAATAGTACTACAACTACTACTACTTCAAAATTTCCATCACCTCCTCCTCCTGTCACCACCACCACCACTACTASTAGTAGTAGTAGTAATGGATACTACTACTATCTTCTACTAGCACCACTATTCTTTGAGCCAGCAAGAAATTAAAGGATCAAAATACTTTTATTTTTGTCCTTAGTATAACTGTAAAAATGAGCTAAAAGATTCTATTAGTGCTTGTACAGGATGGAATTGCCAATATCTTGCCAGCATGGGGCTTGCCTTTAGTAGTACTA